CTACACTCTACAATATGAGATTTTTCTTGCCGGATCAACAATTTGCTCTGTAAGGAAAGCATCTTGGACAGGTTTTCGCCATTCTTTTAGCGGTCTAGCCACTTTCAACAAGGCAGTTATGCTAACATTGGCACCCCTACCATGGTGAGCAACACTTCCCAGTATAAACAGAGGCAAAAAACATGACCCCTTACAATATACTACATGCTCATCATTTTCTATAAAACTCACTGGATCAAAGCGTATGCGGTATTGTAATAGCTGATATAATTGTGATTTAAAAAAAATTATTTCATAAAAAATATTTTTAATTAAAGTTAGTTTGAAATAATATATATTTGGTTAAAACCGTGGTTTAAATTTAAATTCAACAAAAAATAATTTAATATATTTGATTAAAAGAATACTTTTTAAATTAAGGTTATAAAATAATATATATATATATATTAATTAATAATTTTAAATTTAAATATTGTAAATTTAATTACTACTATTATATTATTAAATAAATAATATTTTATATAAAATATTTTTTATTATTTCATTAAATCATTTACAATTTTATTATGTACAAAATTCATCCGATAAAAATTATAGTTTTTATAATTTTTTGAGCATACAATAAAATTAAATAAAATATTATCAAAAATAAAATTGAAATTACAGTGTGACTGAATTTAATTCACTTTATACTAATTTATTTTTAAAAAAATAATATTCACATGACAGTGCAAGTGAATATATAATTAATTGCACTGTTTTTTTAATTATTTAATGAACAATGCTAGTGAATTAAAATTCACTCGCATTGTTCAATTAAAAAAATAAATAGTATAAATTATTTTTTTAATTATTAAGTAAAAAAGTGTGGGTGAGTTTATAATTCATTGAACAATTAAAAAAAAAAACTATTCAATAAACATGAATATATAATTTATTGCATTGGTTTTGTAAAAAACTATTTAATGAACTATACGAGTGAATTAAACTTAAAAAAATAATGAATGAATATATAATTTATTGTATGATTTTTTTAAAAATTTATTCAATAAATAGTGTAAATAAATTAAAATTCATTTGGAGTGTTCACTTAAAATAATAAACAATACAAGTGAATTTATAATTCACTGCATTGTTTTAATAAAAAACTAAAATTATTTATATGAATAGTTTGATTACATTAAAATTCACCCATACTTTTTATTTTTAAAAAATCAAGAGTGAGAAATCAATCAAAAACTGCTTCAGCAAAACTTATATTATAAAAATAAATTATCCTAGGCCCATCCAAAATAAATTATGATTATTTATTATCAAACATTTACATCCTGTATTTTATTTAAAAAATAATCACAGCCGTGAAAACCAACGGTCACTAAGTTTTAAAATAACTTGAGCAATGAAGAATTTGTTTTGCACGTGACACCAACGGTTCAAATTCTTCAGTTCAATTGTTGGCCGTGGAAAAACCTAGAAAATCCATTGAAGTTTTTTCGTCACTTCATCAATTATTACAGTATTTCTATTTATGCGGAGCTTGGAGTATTTAACAGTCTATCGTTTATTTTCTTAATTCACGAGGATAATACTCAATACATTTGGACTCGCATTCCCTAAAGCTTGACACTAGATTCTAGAGCATTAATGAAAGGCAATAAAATCAGGAAAAACCTCATATATAACCTGGGCTTCCATGGTCTATGAAACAAGGTTCAGACTGGAAACATGGATGGAATTGATTGTTCGGCTTGAACGAGTGGTGGAGTGAGGTTAGTCTAAAAAACAAGCTTTTTATGTCACGAGAGACTCTTCATTACTTAAATTGAAAAATATTTGAGAAAAAAACATACACAGTAAATAGCCGTTGAAAAAATATTAAGTTTGAGACTTTATTCATTTATTTGGTAACCTGATATATTTATAGATTTTGATTATATATATAATCTCAAATACAAAAAGTAATGTTATGTTTGATTGTTGAAAATGCTAATCTCTATTTATTATAATATCTAATACGTCATTAAATGAATAATTAGTGAATATCAATTATATATAGGTAAATAATTGCTATTAAGTCGCATAAGTTGAATATAAAGTAGTTTATGTTTTGTCATTGGTAAAAAGAACATAACGCTACACTACATAAAAATTTAAAATTATAAAGAATATCTAAGTTAATCATGAAAATATTGTCTGCATACAGCACAATATATTCTGACCTTACAAAACTAGAAAAAGAACACAAGAACGAGTTCAAGAAAAAAATAAAAAAGGCACGAGGTGCACCGAAAGTTTCTGTGTACAGCTGGCTGGATCGGGGCCCGTTGCCATATCGGTGTGGGAATTACTGTTTGAGCACGATCCAACACAGTAACAAAATGTTGTTGTTTTATGGGCCTCATGGCCCAAACAACAACAGGTAATAATAGTTGCTGTTTGGGCTCTTTTAAAATTATTTAAAAAAACAAACAAAAGAAACGAATATGGAGCTTAAAAGGAGAAGGCAAATCTTTATCCACAGCCAGGTTGGCTCTTCATGCCAATCACTGGATAGCTGGGGTAGTCATATTTTATCATCGGAGCCTACTGTCTTGGCATCCTCAAACTAGCCTCTATGGTCACAAGTAATTATCAATTGAATCCCTAAACAAATAATTTAATCAGTTAGATTCTAAATGTCTGGTATATTTTTCAATTGGCCCCTAAATGTCGATTCATTCTTCAATCTTTTCTTATATAAGATATTTTTATCTAAATTGATGAAAACACCCTCCCATGAAAAATTGAAACCTAATTTAATTTATTAAATAAAATAATGATGAATTTCTTAATACCAATTCATTTTTTTAAATTATCTTTTCAATAAATGCAACGGGGTTTGAGTTCTCTGAGTGAGAGCACTTTCATAAGTTCCTATAAGAGAATATAAAGATAAATCTGGAGTAATTAGACTTCTAGAGACAATTGATCAAGGAGAGATAAAATAAAATGATAAGTTAAAGATAATCTCCCCTTTTATATTGCATAAAATAAGCATTCTAGATGAAAAGTATTAACAAACTTTGAAAAAAGGATAGAGTTGAGAATCATTTAAAATATTTGAGACCTAATTGATAAAACATATTGTCCCAGGACTCGATAGAAAGTGATCACATTGGCGGAACACCGAAGGTTAGGTTAAATCTATCGGTGACAAGAATATCAACTGTGCTGATCCCTTTCGAGATTGCTTATCGAAGTTGTCGTTAGATGTCTTGGAGGAGCCTTTTGCTTAATCACATATGTCTCTTGGCTTTTCCCTAAAGCTGTAGCTGAAGGCTTTAAACTCCCAATAATTGATATACAGTCTACCAGTATTTCTTCTCGCATTTGCTTGAAAAGGGTTACTTCCCGGTTCAAGGTGCCTTTCTCTATCTGCGTGGCTCGTGTACGCGTGCTTGTAGCATGTTTGATGGTTTGCTTGAATGAGGTTTTGGAAAACCCAATGCTAGAATGTTATATTCTTAATTTCTCTCTCTCTCAGATTCTCAGCTAGAAGCACCAGTCCAAGAGCTTTCACCGTTGAAATTCAAAGATTTTCCTATGCTTAAAATGCATGATCTGGGACTTCTTCATCAATTAATGAACGGGACGGTAAATCAAGCAAAGGCCTTTTTGAGACTACTATGGAATTCGTTTGAAAAGCTTGAGCAAGCTGTATTAACAATATTACGCAGACATTTCTCCATCCCCATCTCCGCGATATATATGTCCATTTCATAAGTACTTCCCAGCCTCGTCAAGTAGCTTACCCACACAGGAAAAAAGATGCATTTCTTGGCTAGATACCCAAGCCCCTAATTTTGTTCTCTAGGCCTTCGGAAGCATTGCAACTGTAAATGAGTCTGAATTTCTGGAGGTGGCTTGTGGGCTAGCCAGTAGCTATCAACCTTTTTTATGGGTGGTCCGGCCTGGATTTTCCCAAGGCTTAAACTGGCTTGCAACATTGCCAAATGATTTCTGGGAGATGGTAGGTGGAAGGAGACATGCAGTGAAATGCGCTTCCCAACAAGAGGTGCTAGCACACCCTACCACCGAAGGTTTTTGGACGCACAATGGTTGAAATTCCACGTTGGAGAATATATGTGAAGGAGTCTCTATGCTTTGTCAGCCTAATTTTGGAGACCAGATGGTAAATGCAAGGTATAGGACTGATATTTGGAGAGGTGGGTTTGCATTTAGAGAGAAGAGTAGAGAGATGAGAATTACATAAGTTAATGATACTGATAAATACAAAACTCAGGGAAGGTTGTGGAGGATTTACATAAATACTTTGTCCGCCCCCCGCGCCCCGCCCCCCCCCCGAGAATTATATAAATGCTACTGATAACTCACTGTCCTTTTTAAAGCTATTAATTAAGGTATTCACTGTGAATTCTATTAGCTCATAAAAGTTGTACAATTATTGCATTATAATGATTTATATTTTTTAATGAAAAAATAATAATTTCACCTTTAAATTTTTATTTATAGTTGACATGAAATATGGCTTTTTCTCATCAGCAAGTAAATTTTATATTCATTTCTAATTTTTTAAAAGGGAACAATTTTTAAAAAAAATAAAAGAGTACACAGACAAATACCTGTCTAATATCATCTGTTTAGGTGAGCTCCTCGCAGTTTTGTAGCTGCTTAAAACCAGGATTAATCACAAGGCCCAAAATTAGCTGGATTTCTCTCCAGGCAAGCCTTTGAGGAGCTTGAGTCGAACCTGAGAGCCCGGCTCGTTTGGTTTTTATCGTGAGCAGCACCGAGGGCTTCAATGAATGTTGATGATCTAAATTACCATGATCAGTATTTTTGAACTCTAGAGTGCGCACAATCTGTGGCGAGAGGGAGGAGAGATGAGGAAGAGAAAGAAAAGAGAAAAGAAAGGAGAAGAAATAAGAAAAAGAGAAACACAAAGGAGGAAAAAATTTAGTAAAATAAAATAATTTGTACATGTCATAATTAAAAAACATAATATTTAAATTTATTACTATTTAAAAATACAATATTTCAAAGAAATTGTGAAATGCATAAATTGCAATGAAACAAAAAATTATATCAAAACTTCAATTACAATACCATTAATACTATAAAAAAAAAATCTTAACGATACTATAGTAACTGGAGTTGACTATATTTACAATAAAAAAATAGATGATTTACTTCCTTTAAGAGATAACTGTGTTCTACTCCAATTATTTTTTGTTATTTTACTTGATATTGTTAAATTTATTTTATTGAGATTTTTTTAATAATATTAATAATATAATAATTAAAGTCTTAGTATGCTTTTAAAAGATATTTTTTTTCCTTATTATAATTTATAAAGAATAAAAAAGAAGAAGAAAGAACTCAAAGGCATCTTAAAACTTTAATTATAACACCACTACCATCTTAAGAAAAATTGAGATCTAACCTATCCAAGGCAAGCATGAACCTGCCATTGTTACTCTTATTAGCTAGATGGGGATGCCTTCCAGGTCGGCTTTATTGTCATAATCGTTCATGATCCGGACGCATTGCTATTTAAATAAATGGAAATGTAGACGCCCAATAACACAATTTTTAACTTTTTTTTAAATAAAATAATGAATAGCATCACGGTTTTTGGGGGTTTGGGCAAGAGAGCAATGCCTCTATGCCTGAGGGGTAAGGATAACTTGTCCTTGTTTCGAAAAGTGCGGTTCATCCTCAGATTGCCCTGAACTTTAAACCTAAATCGTTCATCTACGCATCCAATGTCAGAATCGAGAAGCCCAGAAGAAACCAGGGGAAACATCAATTCCATGGAGAATATAAGAGAGTCCCATGTGCACCACAGGAAGTATCGGCGAGTCATACTCTTCCCACTGCCTTTACAAGGGCATATCAATCCTATGATTCATCTTGCTAACATCCTTTATTCTAAAGGATTTTCCATAACAATCATCCACACTCAATTCAATGCTCCCAATCCTTCGAAGAGTCCTCACTTCACTTTCCATGCAATTCCTGATGGTTTGTTGGAAGATGAGGCTTCAACTGCAGATGGTGTGATCCTTTTCTCAGTCCTCAATTCAAAGTGTGTTGAGCCCTTTCGAGATTCCCTGGCTAAGCTGTTATTGGATGCCATGGATCAAGAGCCCGTTGCTTGCTTGATCACAGATGCTGTTTGGCACTTCACTCACGCTGTAGCCGAGGGCTTTAAGATCTCAACTATTGCCATGCGGACAACTAGTATAACTTCTTTTCTTGCTTTTGCCTCCTTCCCCCTTCTGCGAGAAAGGGGTTACTTCCCAATTCAAGGTGCTTTATCTTCTTTATGTCTCTGTGCAAGCAATTTTTTAATATATTACTTAAAAACTTAAAAACATTAACTAAGCACTTCTCATTTCCTCCATCCTTCTCTCTCTCTTCAGATTCTCGATTAGAAGAATCAGTGCAAGAGCTTTCACCGTTGAAAGTCAAAGATCTTCCTGTGATCAAAACACGATGTCCAGCGACTCTTCATCAACTGTTTGAAAAGATAAGTAATCAAGCCAGAGCCTGTTCAGGCCTAATTTGGAACTCGTTTGAAGAAATTGAGCGTGATGCTCTGAGCAAATTAGGCCAGGTCTTTCCTGTGCCAATATTTCACATAGGTCCATTTCACAAGTACTTTCCAGCCTCTTCAAGTAGCTTACTAACACAAGACCAAAGCTGCATTTCCTGGCTTGATACCCAGACTCCTAATTCTGTCCTCTACGTCAGCTTTGGGAGCATTGCTGCGGTAAATGAGACTGAATTCCTGGAGATAGCCTGGGGGCTACTCCATAGCAATCAACCCTTCTTGTGGGTGGTTCGACCTGGATTAGTTCCGGGCTCGGAATGGTCCGAATCATTGCCGGATGGATTCCTTGAGATGGTGGGTAAAAGGGGCTATATCGTGAAATGGGCTCCTCAACAAGAGGTGCTAGCACACCCTGCCACTGGAGGGTTTTGGACACACAATGGTTGGAATTCCACATTGGAAAGTATATGTGAAGGGGTTCCCATGATTTGTCAGCCTTTTTTTGGTGATCAGAGAGTAAATGCTAGGTATGTCAGTGATGTTTGGAAAATTGGGACACACTTGGAGTATAATAAACTCGAAAGAAGGGAGATAGAGAGGGCAATTAAAGCACTAATGGTAGAGACAAAAGGGCAGGAGATGAGACAGAGAATTGTGTCTTTGAAAGAGAAGGTGAACCTTTGTCTAAGCCATGGAGGCTCTTCTTACCATTCACTTGAGAGCTTGACTAACTACATCATGTCATTCTAGGCTTCTGTCTGTGTTCGGTAACTTGTTAATTCATGTTTAATTTTGCAATGAGGTTGCATATGACAATCAAAGCCTTGAGTCTGTTTATTGCATTCATGGTACTTGAAGTTTTCAAATTTATCCTGTTATTTCTGTTCGTTTGATGTAAAATGGAATTTGATTGCTGTCTCATAACTCATTCTGCACGGCCTGACTTTAGTTGGAGGATTTTGTTCAATGTCTTGGTATGCGTGTTATTAAATATACTTCCACTAACAGTATCACGTGGAAGATTTGCATTTCAAATTTCAGAGAAGAAACAATCACCAAAACATATTTCCTGTGATTCTTGCATAGTTTTTGGAATAATCAAGACAAAGCTGAAAATGAACTGATGAGCTGTGTATGCATGAATTTTTATTCCTTTGATTTATATACCGAGATGTTGCAAATTTTCCATGGAAGAGTGTCAAGGATTTTTGCAGTGATACAGCCTAGCCAAACAATAATAATTACTAGTCCAACATAGTTGGTTCCAAGATGGTCAATGTTGAAGAATGAAAAGCTTGCTGAATATTTATTTGAGTTTAGACTAGCTTTGTATGCATGTTTACTATAAAATCATGTTATTTGAGGAATTGTGGTGGAACGCTGATAGCATTCTTTAGGTGAGCGATTCCCTAAACAACCATTAAAGAAGCCATGATTCCTTCTCAAGTGAGTGAATCTTTGAGTGTTAAATTATCCCTTTCTTATGCTATCATTACATTTTTCATTCCATCCCATTTCTTGATAGCATCATGCAGGTTTTCTTGAATTATATGATTATTTATTCGAAGGAAACCTCATGATATGATTGTCCTCATTTGAAGCCAAATGATTTTATTTGACGAGAGTAACAAACCCCTGCATTTATGAGCTAATGACACCTGGTATTGTATAAATAAATCAAAGAGTAGATCAGAGGTATCCAGGTGAATTAACAAGTTACATGGAGAGCCTAAAAGAATCTCATATGCCACAAAGGGTGGGCGTCGGCCGCTCGCTTATTCGCTTTCCATTACCACTACAACGTCACATAAAACCCATGCTCAGCTTGCAAACGTCCTGTATTCTAAAGGGTTGTCCATCATCATAATCCACACTTCAACTCTTCACATGCTTGGTACTTCCCTCATTTCACCTTCTACTCGATTCCTGATGGCTTCTTGGAACATAAGGCTTGGCAGATGTCATGCATTTTGTGACACTCCTCAGTATCAACCGTGTTAAACCATTTAGTGATAGTTTGACTAGGTTATTATTCGACTTTGAGAACGAGCCAATTGCTTGCTTTAATCTCAGATGCCAACTGGCACTTCACTGAAGCTGTTGCTGATGGCATTAAACTTCAAAGGGTTGTGCTACGAACCAGTGACATTTTCCTTGTTTTTGCTGCTCTGCCACTTCAGCGAGAAAAGGGTTCTTTTAGTATCAAAGGGGCGTGCATACTATTCACAGCTTTGTTATGTGTCTGTGCATAGTATTCCTAGTCAATGAAGTCCTATGGTATGATAACTGAAAAGAAATATGTGATAAGCTGAGAAAGATGCTAAAAAGCAATACTAGAATATTAGTTTATTGAAATCCATTCAAAAGCAATTCTTGTCCAGTACCAATCATGCATCTGCCGTAAAACTTTTTGCATATACATTTTCCTAGGTTTTCTTGAACACAGTGAAACACAAAATTGCAGTTTTTGGGCCAGAATGCAATCGTCCTTGTCCACTCTCTTTTCTTTTGTTTTAATTCGAGCATTGTCGGCAATGGTGATGCTCCAAATTGTGTCTGTTCTGCGGATAGATATTTATATGCCGCATTAAGTGATTTAAGGAAGCAAAACATTGCCAGAATGGGGTTCGATTGTGCTTATGTTAGTATTTTTCATATAAGCCCCAGTAATCTTGTGTAGTTTTTGGGTGCGAACTTGAAGCTAAAAAATGTGAGACTACCCTAATTTTGTTTTTTTGAGGGCATCTTATATATTTTGCACAGCTAAATTCCAACAAGCTAGCAATCTTTTCTGATCTGCTTCCTAATGCTATTGTTAGTTACCTAAAGCAACAGGTACCTCAACCAGCTATCAGCCATCCGTGTCTGAATTTCTAAGTTGTAAACCCTAAGATCCTGCTGTAGATACAATGGAAAAAGTTGTCAAGAGAGGCTAAGTTTAGATGAAATGCTAGTCGTATTTGAATTGCAGCAGGCAGGGTTATAAGCTGGTACGAGTAGATGTGATAAATTTTATACTTGGCTCTCTATCTCATCTGTGTTCTTTCATGCTCTGTTTACCAATATTTTCCCAAATCATACTTTTAGAATTACTTTCTATATAGTGGCATCGTATTAACTCTCTCTGCATAAATCCACTAGAGAACTGTATAATAGCATTAGGAATAGTTTATGTTCCCAAATCATATTTGAATTGCAGCAGGCAGGGTCCATTTCACAAGCACTTGCCAGCCTCCAAAAATTAACTCTACCCGAATAGTTTATATAAATGGTTACCTCTTCTCTAAATAGCATCCACGCGATAGTAAAAAAAGCTCCATTTAGAAGAACTCTCTCTTCCCCACCACTCGCATCTAGCAGAAGAACAAAAACTACAGCGAGAAAAGGCAAGCTTCTTGTAGACCCTTTTACTTTCTTAATCAAGGATTAGAAATGGCTTTGAGTCTGTTAGGTGGTGGTGGAAGGGGCGACGTCTTTGACCCTTTTTCACTAGATATCTGGGATCATTTTTTAAATCTAATTTTTTTAATGTCCACTGATATTAAATATTATATTTAACTCAATAATATATATAAAAATTTGGGATTTTAAATTAGCAAACAGAATATCTCGAAATAAATCAATTAACTCATTCATTTAAAAAATATCATCTTTCCCAGTTACTTACTGTGCCATTATCATCTTTAACAAGTTAAATACAACTCTTAGGATTGGTTTTTGCAGCATCTTCTCATGTGTGTGAATATTATTAGATATATAAATATTAATGCATATATAAGCCCACAACTTTAAAACTTGGTGATATAAAGCATCTCCTAGAAAACTAGTTTAGGGGTTCCTTGGCATGGATAACACATGGGTCCTGCAGTTTGTATAATCAAATGGATAGTTGAGATTTTATTTTTCCTTCAAAAGCAGAAAAACTCAACAACACCCTCGATGATGTGGATAGTTGTACGATGAAGTTCTGTAATTTGCACCCACTGTTCTCTTAGCTCACCGAACCTTCAATTTTATTTTGTTTTGATCAAATGAAAATGATACTGTTTTTTATCACGGTGAAGAGGGTCTAATGAGATGACATAAAACCACAAAAAAAAAAAAATCCCAAGGATTGCTTAGGGTTTTGTTTGATCAATTCAATGTAAAAGTAAGTTTTCAGGGTATAACATTGAAGATTGTTGGATTTTCTCCTGAGATGAGATTTTATAAGTTGAATCTTAATTTAAGAACAAAAGTTTTGATTATAAAATTAGCAGTTGGAGAAAGCCCTAAAAAGTCAAACAATATACAATTAATGGAGAACGGAAAATTGCTTAGCTCTACCGTTACCCGTTCCTCTGTAGCCAGTTGATCAAGCAAAGAGAAGAAAAAAAAAATACAAAATTAAAGTGCATATAGCTGGATTGGTATATTTACACGGAAAGAACAAAAATCTACAGCTATTCGCGATCCTCATCTTCATCGTAAATTCCATCCGAGTCATCAACATCATCGATAGCAACAACCTTAGATACACTAATCCTAGAAGAAGCTGATCGAATCTTGAAAGGTAATCTTGCACTGTTGCTAATCGCAGCATTATCACACCCTTCTTCCTCTTTCTTCAAATCACTAGGTGGCAAAAAGCAATCCATGGACAATCCTTTTATGTTAAAATCAACCTCTTCAATGGCCCAAATCTCCTCCATTCTAGTCCTTGAATGGCTTTCTGAGGTCTCACCGAACCTGAACAACGAGACCGAAGTTCTGCCCTTGTATGCTATGTTAATCCCATCTATGGTTCGGTAGTCTTGAATTGATGACTCCATTGTGGTCTCCCAAAAAATGCTGTCATTGCCTGAGGCTTTAATTCTTAGAAGGTGGGAGTCTTCTAATTGAACCAACAAACCCGTTCTTTGGCTGAAGTAGCCCCATAATGTGTGCCTAATTATTTCTACATTGCTAGTGCTCCTTGCTCTTAGCGACGAGGGCTCAGCTTCTAGTTTTAGCACGAAACAATCCTCATTGTTGATTGTTTTCTCGCCAGTGCAAACAGAATTGGAGAATAAGTTGGCCGTAGACTTTGGATCAAGACCCTGTTCATTATCAATTAAAATATGAGAATCTGTAAATGTATTATGGAAGGTCATGCTCATAGAACTGAAGGAACAAAAGGCAACATGTTCATTTCATCATTAATAAAAAAGAAAGAAAGATGTTCTGAGTATAAAAATTGCGAGATTCAATGAAAAAAAAAAAAAGAGGCAAGATGATTGTTTAAAAAAGATTGAGTTCCATTAATGGGCTTATGGCCTGTCAGTTTCTTACTGGGCTCCTTTGAAAAACAACAGAGTTTGTTTTACCCATCTAGAATTTGGGCCTCGATTATCTAAAAGTTGGCTGTAAATGATTTTTCTTGATTATTAGAAACTATTTTACTTGAGACTTTTTTTCCCCTCAAAATTTAGTGGCCAAAGCGGAAAACACCAGCCCTGATAATTGAGAAATTTGGTAGGCTAGGTCCCACGGTAAAGTCAAAAAATAAAAATCATGCCTTGGCCCTTTCTCTTCTTTTAGAAAAACAAAATGAAATGGAACTCAAGTGGAAAATTGATGAATTGATGTGAACATAAAATTCATGCGCCGGCCCTTTTCTTCTTCTGAAAAGTCCCAAAAGATTAGAAGCTGGATAGCTGTAACCGTAGCATCCAGCAATACTAACAGTCAGGAAAAGCCAATTAAGAAGTACAGAGCCATGAAAATCAGTTAATGAAATCCTAAGCACTCATAAGGATGTCAGATATTAACCATTAGATTCGTGGGTTTTTACCTGGAGAAAACGTCTAAGAGGCCTAGGTGGGCCTCTAGATGCATGAGAGTGGTGCCATGGCGTTTGTCTCCAAGCCACCTTACCATCGCTGCCAGCACTAATTTTGCACCCAGAAACCACTAATTCCAAGCACCATAAATCAGGTCTTTTTTTCC